ATATATGTATATACATATACATATGTAGAAGTGTAAATATAAAAAATTTAAAATCTAAATTGAAGCGAATTCTGCGGTTACAATTATAATTTGGGGCGACGTTAGAATGCCATCCCACGATTTCGGGAATAGCATGAGTATGGTCGGATAGAGGAGGTTCTCCAGATCAATATTGCAATACTTTAGTTGTGTTTAAATAAATATATTTGTACAATAAGATAGATATTTAATTTAATATTTAAATATTATTGTAGGTAAAGTTTCAGAAAATGGGGTAGTTTTAAGTGCTAGAAAGTAAATATAAGTACTTTTCCATACCTATTGTAAGGTAATAATCAATACTTTTATATATATACATATCTKCTTCTTCTTGATTGGCGTAGTCACCGCTTACGCGATTATAGCAGAGCTAACGCGCCCAGTCGTTTCTTCTTTTCGCTACGTTTCGCCAATTAGATATTCCAAGGGAAGCCAGGTCCTTCTCCACTTGGTCCCTCCAACGGAGTGGAGGTGTTCCTCTTCCTCTGCTTCCCCCGGCGGGTACTGCGTCGAATACTTTCAGAGCTGGAGTGTTTTCGTCCATCCGGACAACATGCCCTAGCCAGCGTAGCCGCTGTCTTTTAATTCGCTGAACTAAGTCAATGTGGCCAAACGCGCAAAGGACCATAARTCTTTCGCAGAACTTTCCTCTCGAAAACTCGCAACGTCGACTCATCCGTTGTTGACATCGTTCAAGCCTCTGCACCATATAGCAGGACGCGAATTATSAGTGACTTATAGAGTTTGGTTCTTGTTTGTCGAGAGAGGACTTTGCTTCTCAATTGCCTACTCAATACGAAGTAGCAGTAGTAGTTGGCAAGAGTTATCCTGCGTTGGATTTCTAGGCTGACATTGTTGGTGGTGTATACGCTGGCTCCAAGATAGACGAAATTATCTACAACTTCAAAGCTATAACTGTCAACAGTGACGTGAGTGCCAAGTCGCGAGTGCGACGACTGTTTGTTTGATGACAGGAGATATTTCGTCTTGCCCTCGTTCACTTCCAGACCCATTTGTGTTGCTTCCTTGTCCAATCTGGAGAAAGCAGAACTGACGGCGCGGGTGTTGAGGCAGATGATATCAATATCATCGGCATACGCCAGCTGCTGTRCACTCTTATAGAAGATGGTACCTTCTCTATTTAGTTCTGCAGCTCGAACTATTTTCTACAGAAGCAGGTTGAAAAAGTCGCACGATAAGGAATCGCCTTGTCTGAAACCTTGTTTGGTATCGAACGGCGCGGAGAGGTCCTTCCCGATTCTGACGGAGCTTTTGGTGCT